TGTGTATGGGTGTTTCCCAGTACTGGGTTGCAGCTGAAAGGACAACCACTGCGTAAAACATATGCCGAAATAGTTGGTGGTTCATTAAGCTGTGGTGAATGATAAACCCCTGATAAATAAGGGACTAAGCTGAAGGAAAATGAATGAATGAATGGTTGAGAATCACTGCTGTAGCCTAATGTATGCTCTCTCTCTCTCTCTCTCTGTGTATGTGTGTGTGTGTGTGTGTGTGAGTAAGATTGTCCATATCTTTGACACACTGCAGTCTCTTTTCGGGATTTCAAGTCAAAAGATACAATATTTCCTCTTTCTTTTTTGTTTTTTCTTCTTGTTGTTGTTTTAGCAGCAGATCCCTTAATACAGGGCTGTCCAAGCTCGGCCCTGGAGGGCTGGTGTCCTGGAGAGTTTAGCTTCAACTCGCTTTAACATACCTGCCAGGAAGTTTCTAGTATATCTAATAAGTGCTTGATTAGCTGTTCAGGTGTGTTTAATTAGGGTTGGAGCTAAACTATCCAGGACACCAGCCCTCCAGCTGCCTTAATATGCATCGGTTTCAGTGTGCAAGGTTTTTGTGCGTTACAAATGTTTTTAATTGGAAAAATATACAAAGATTTTGGATTCACACTAGGCGTGGGTTTCAGTGCTGATGCATAATTATTATGGCAACAGCCAATTGGACTACTCTGGACCACAACACAGCTCAAAAATGTTGCCAATATTTAAAAAAAAAAAAAAAATAGACATTACATTTCTAGCAGTAATGTAAATGTCCATTTTTAATACGCAAGATTCTACTTTCCTGATGAAAATTGCATTGTAACCGTAAGCTGGCCAAACATAATTTACCAAACAACTTTTGGATTGATCTCCATTAGAAACTTAGAGATGTGGATTCAGATGGCAGTTAAATCACCATGCAGCCTCAATGTCTGACCAAAAAAAAAAAAAAAAACAGTAGGCAATTTGTAAAAACACCAACATTCTGAATTAGGATGGAAGTAAAGTCACTTAACTGCCCCTTAGTGAATAGTAAAAATCCCTTAAGCCTCCTTTCCACTGCACACAACAAGCGACAAACCAGAAGTCATTCATTTCCAATGGAGAGTAGTCCGGTGTGGAGTCCCGATCATCTCCATATGCGGAAAATTCAGATGCAAATTGAGCTGCGGATCCATTAAAATAACTGAACTCTTGCAACTAGACCTTAGCGACCGGATGTGATGTATTCCAATGTTGTTCAAGCAGGTCCGTGTGCGCGAGATGAGAAATAGGACTTTATTTGGTTATTTTTTGAATCAGAAAAATTCTTAATTAAAAAAAAATAAATTCTATTCATAAATGTAATTGATAAAGTAATAAAAAATATAATGCTTTATGTTGTCTCCACATTCCCTCCAATATTTTTAGCGTTCTGAGTTTCTAGTATTTATTTATTCATTCATTCATTCATCCACGGAGAATTGCTTATGCGCTCCTTTTATTTCGGACACTGCGAGAACAGCTTTCCCATAGTGCACGTCAGAACTGAAAATTATGTGCGGCTGCCACAAGAGGGCGTAATCCGACAGTCATGTCCAAATTTCGTGTGCAGTGGAAAGGCAGCTTTACACCCTGCATTTCAGGTTTAAATGAACACAATTTGGGCAGCACGGTGCCTTACTACTTAGCACTGTCGCCTCACAATGTGAAGGCTGCTGGTTCGAGTCCCAGCTGGGTCAGTTGGCGATTCTGTGTGGAGTTTGCATGTTCTCTTCGTGTTGGCGTAGGTTTCCTCCGGGTGCTCCGGTTTCCCCCACAGTCACATGCGCTGTGGGTGAATTGGAGCTAAACTGACTGTAGTGTATGAGTGTGTGTGTGTGGATGCGAGTGTGTATGGGTGTTTCCCAGTACTGATTTGCAGCTGGAAGGGCATCCACTGCGTAAAATATATGCTGGAGTAGTTGGGGGTTCATTTCGCTGTGGTGAACCCTGATAAATAAGTAGCCAGAGGAAAATTGATGAATGAATAAACACAATTTGCCTGAATGAAAGGGCATGACATCCCTAGAACACTTGAGGCACAAGCCCTTTCCCTCGAGTTTTCCTTCTCCACAAGATCAGCAGACATTGTGACACTTCTCAAAGAGACATTGATGCTGACAAAATGCCACACCATGGTGAGAAATGAGAGGTCTTCATTACGGCTTGACTCTATGTGAGATCGTTAGCCTTTAATGTCCCGCCGGCTTTATTTATCTTAATTGCATCACTGCTTTGTTTTTGTCAGTTCATTTGAGACTGCTGTGAACGCTTATCTTCTCAAGACTTGCTTTGGTTGTTTTATTTAACCAGAAGAAGATTGGCATTTCTTTGTGACTTTGTCATTATCATTGCGAAGAGTTGAATTAATTGCGTCTTTGTGAAGTTGTTTCTTTTTTTAGTCGTTAACTGTTGCGAATTTAAGTGTTATGAAGTGCTACTGTGGTTCTTTCGGTTTTAAATGAATATGATTTGTGTGGTGTTTAGCTGATCCAGCCAATGACGGCCAGCTGGAGAGAAATTTCAGTTTGATGCTAACCACTTGAAGTACTACCAAAATATATCTTACTGCTCTACACTTAGAAAACAAAAGTACAAAACCGGTGCAAACTTCAGAGTTTACTTTTAGGTAATATGAGGTAAGCATTGTACTTTTTAGGTATTAATATGTACCTTTAATGACCTGGGGTGTATTTTGTAAAACCATCGTTAACCAACTAAGGTTGCAAGTTCCGTCTTTACAAACATAGTTCATTGATTTGACGTTTCCCAAATCCGTCATTCCAACGAACATTCGCAAACTGCGTCGCAAACTTGTGCACTTACAACTAAACCTCTTGAACTGTAGTTCCTGGCTGTGTTCTATTCGCAGTTATCCTCCCTATATGCCCCATTTCGTTTAAAACATTCTAATATTTAAACTAGAATTTTTTTTAAAGCATTAAAGTTATCACTCAACTGTACGTTCACACCGAAAGCAGCGAGAGCGTCAAAGTAGTCGGAAGTCATTCATTTTCAATGAGAGCTGGTGGCGTTACGCAGCGAGGAGCAGCGCGGGCCGTCTTCGCCGGTGTAACGAGGAGAGTTGAAATCAAGTCAACTTTATGGTAATGAGCTATGATGCTGTTTGGCCCCAAGCAATCAGAATGAAGAAGTCCACTGCTTGAGAGGAGTCCAGAGAACACAGTCACTGTGAACTTTGGTTCTGACCACAGTTGTTCCCAAGGGTTTGATTACTGCGGTCACCGGATTTCCAATTATTTGCACTGATGTCTTACAGGAGCATGCATTAAAAAAAGTTACTGGCGAGTTCCTGATGTGCATAATTTTATTTTTATTTTTATATTAAAAAAAATGGAAATATCTCATGCAACAATTCAAAACAGCATTGCTGCTTTAGGATATTTCAGACATATGGACACTTTAAATAATTAAGTGGAGCAAAGACTCACCACATGCAACTTGACCTTCCATTGTTAAATAAATTTGATAAAAAGTGCATGACATTTTCATGATGTAAAGCATGTTTTATGCAGGAATGTAACTGATATGATATGCTGCAACGGCCCCTTTAAATACGAGATCAATGTAGCAACCTTTGACGCTCACACCGCCTTCGGTGTGAACGCACAGTTAGGTGAAATTTGCTTTCAGAAAGTGTTTACAGTACAGTTTTAGCAATCTTCATGTTTACAATTGCGCTCCCTTCGCAGTGCACTTTGAAAACATTATTGTCATTTTGAACACAGCCGAGTGGAATTTATATTGTCTCCAAAGCCAGTACATTTTTACAGTCATCGCTCCAAAGCTTGTGAAAACAAGAAACATAGCATACATTAATGCTTTTATTTCATATAAGGTTATTTATTAAGAAATGTAGCCTACTGTATATGACATGGGCCTGTTGGCTAGAACATTTCTGCAGTGGTTTGCATGTGTCAAATTGTAAAAGTAGACTTTCAAACAAAAAAATTATAAATAAAAATTTCCTACTTATTAATAATAATAATCATCATCATCATTATTTAATTATTAAAGCATGATTTTTTTATTTCCTAATAAATAATACATTTCATTTCTTAATAAATAGCCTCATTATTTATTTATTTATGATATTAGAATAGTGTTAGCTTTTTGTAAGTGACTTTATATTTTAGAATGGAATATGTAATGTTCTTAATAGTATTTGTAAAGGAAACATTGGCCCTGTATGTACCATTTGCATATATTTCAATGGAATGCGAGTGCACCAAAACTAATATTGGATTTTATTTTAAATGCATGTGCATGTAAGACGATATAATTTGCACAAAGAAATAATGGGGTTCTTCTCTAAATAAGTAGTTACTCCACCCCGTTTAGAGCATCATTATGGACATTTTACATTATAGCTAACGTGGTTCAAAGGACAGATCTGCGACAGAGAAACCATGCGTTTTGGGAAACACTCGACACTTCATCGTTCTTTTCCCAAACAATGCATTATACTATGATCGTTCAGCTGCGAGTTACATCGATGTTCAGGAAACGCACCCTTTGGGTACAAAAGCATACCATTTAAAAATGTGTCACACCAATGACATGTTTTATCTCTTTTTTTGCGAGAGTGTGTGACCGTTATCAATAAAATACACAATTATAGTAAAATTACTCTAAGAAATTATTATTAATACAGCTAGATTAAATAAATGCAATCAGGTGATTCATTAATAATCATGACACACTTGATTAAGAGTTCACCATGCAGATTTCACTCATGTTCAATGGGGTTTTGTGAATTGACTTAAAAGAAAATCTACTTGGTTTAAAAGTGTTTTCTTAATGAGCTGTTACTTTACGTCTGAAAATTGGACTTATTGTATGTAAAATGTTACTAATGTATTGATAAAAATAACTATGAAGGTAAATATGTATCTTTGAATGATATTAACTAAGTGGTGAAAAATAACTTGACTAACTGCCTCTCTTGTTTTCTCTCTCAGCTGGGGAGAAAGACAAGGCTGCCATGAGCCACGAGTCCTTTCTACTGATGGCAAACACTCAGAGTGACATGGACGACTGGGTGAAGGCCATCAGGCGGGTCATTTGGGCTCCTTTTGGAGGAGGTAAAAACCAGGTGGAGCGCAAGCTTCAATAGGTCACACTCAGAATGATATACAGTTGAAGTCAAAACTATTAATCCTCCTGTAAATTGTTTTTCTTTTTTAAATATTTCGCAAATGATGTTTAACAGAGCAAGGAGTTTTTCCACAGTATTTCTTCTATATTTGTTCTTCTGGAGAAAGTCTTTTTTGTTTTTATTTGGCTAGAATAAAAAGCAGTTTAATTTTTTAAAAGAAATTTTAAGGTCAAAATTATTAGCCCCTTTAAGCTATACTTGTTTTCGATAGTCTACAGAACAATCCATCGTTATACAATACCTTGCCTAATTACTTTAACCTGCCTAGTTACCCTAATTACCCTAGTTAAGCCTTTAAATGTCACTTTAAGCTGAATACTAGTGTCTTGAAAAATGTCTAGTCAACTATTATGTGCTGTCTTAATAATCTAAATGGCATGGCTATTTTTAAAAGAAACACCTGTGTGCATGTTTAAAGAACATATTAGTAATATAAAGAGGATTTATATTATTAAAATTTAATAATTACCACACTAAAGTACCTAAAGAGTGGATTGTAAAGCTTTAGTGGATGTTAAATATGCTTCATAAAACCATAAATGCCAACGAAGAACATTATTTTGTAGGAATAGGCTACCTTTTAGACATGTAATCATTATAGTATTAATTTATTACTAAATTAAAAATGTCTTATATATCAACCTGGTAATGGGGAAACATCCATATAAACTCATCCACTACGGCCTATTTAGTTTGTCTAATTCCTCTATAGCGCTTGTCTTCGGATAACCCGGAGGAAACCCACACCAACCATTACCCTAACCTGCCTAGTTAACCTAATTACCCCAGTTAAGCCTTTAAATGTCACTTTAAGCTGAATTCTAGTGTCTTGAAAAATGTCTAGTCAACTATTATGTGCTGTCATCGTGGCAAAGATAAAATAAATCAGTTATAAGAAATGAGTTATTAAAACTATTTTATTTAGAAATGTTTTGGGAAAATCTTCTTTCCATTAACCAGAAATTGTGGTAAATAGAGGGCTAATAATTTAATAATAATTAAGAATTCAACTGTATATAGTTTGAGGAGGAAAAATAAACTTTTGTGAAAATCTCTCATGACAATGTTTTACTACAAATAAATAAACCAAAAAAAATAATAATAGGAATTGTAGTTAAGCCATAGTAACCAACAAATTCACAGTGATACACTACTTACTCGAGTTGACCATGTTTTGTGGTTGTAATCAATGCACATATGGTTTCTACACTTATACTATAATAAATACATGGTTTATTTTCTTAATTGTTGGTTGTATAACTTGTTTAAGACACTAAAATATCACTGAGCTGTGATGCCATCACTTTGAGGAAAAGTTGGTTTTATATTCGCACATTCGTTTATTGACATTGTGACATGCACCCTATATTCTTTACCATGGTACTTTGAATATTCAGTCTAAAAATGACATGCAAGTATTACTTGAAAACAACATCAGCACTTTATATGACTGTAAACAATGTTGTACTTTGATAGGCTGCTGATATAGTGTCAATATTTAGAGTTTGCAAAGAATATTTTGGTGAAATTATAATAGTAAGGAGTAAGTCAGAAAGTGCGAATATAACATTAACTTTACCTCAAATGCCATTATCATTCAAAGCAAAGCTAATACACGTTTCAGCTCTAAGTTATGGTCACTCAAAAATGTGTCTTGACCTCAGTAAAATTATTAAAACATGTTGAAGTTATCTATTGACAAACATTAACAAGACATTGAGATTTTCTTACCGTGGTGTTGATATTGGCGGGAACATTTCCAAGTCTTTTCAACCAAAGTACTGACAACAAGAAGAAAAAAATTAAGTAGATGGGTATATAAATATTGGAGTAAATTTGGTTTTATATTTGCACAATCGTTCATTGACAACATGACATGCGCCCTATATTGTTTACCATGGTACTTTGAATAGTCGGTCTAAAATTACATGCAAGTACGACTTGAAAACATCAGCACTTTATATGACTGCACAATGTTGTACTTTGATAGGCTGCTAATAGTGTCAATATTTAGAGTTTGCAAAGAATATTTTGGTTTAATAATAATAGCAAGGAGTAAGTCAGAAAGTGCGACATAACATTAACTTTACCTTAATTGCCATTATCCACAGGTTAAGTTCATTCAAAGCAAAGCAAATACACGTTTCAGCTCTAAGTTATGGTCACTCAAAAATGTGTCTTGACCTCAGTAAAATTATTAAAACATGTTGAAGTTATATTTTGACAAACATTAACAAGATATTGAGATTTTCTTACCGTGGTGTCGATATTGGCGGGAACATTCAGTCTACTGAACTACTGACAACAAGAAATTTAATTAGATTGGTATTTAAATATTGGGGTAAACTTGGTTTTATATTCGCACATTCAGCCTTTCTCTTTAATAGGCCTATTATTATTTCAGAAACGTATTATTTGCAAATTCTAATAAGGAAAATAATATTAGCAGCGCACTATCAAACTACAAGTGTTCAATTAAATGGTGCTAATGTTGTTTTGAAGTGGGCTAATGGTAATACTGAACTTCAATGTGATTTCAGACCGAATGTAAAACAAACTAAATTTAGATTAATTAACTTTTTAATAAGCTTTTTGACGATATATATGTATTAATTATACATTTATGTTTTGTTGCCGATAAAACGCCACATCAATTCGCGGGAATATACCACAAACAAAACAACGGCTTAACTTACCTGAGAAAATCTGCATGCAATAGTTGCTCCAACAGGAGGTCGAGGAAAACAGAAGATATTCGTGAAAATGACTAGGCTACTTGTTTATTGTCTTTACTTTTAAACAATCTAGTGGCCATCGTAATTGTGACTATTTCCTTTACGTTCGTTTGGAGTAAAGCAGGTCAGTCAGACAACAGGAAGCGACCAGTCACGTGTTAATAATAATATTTCTAATAAATGTTACGCAAGAACGTTGATTATTTTATCAGAAATACGTTTTAGTAGCCTATAGAGATAAAGTTGCTTTTATTTTCTTTTATATGTGCGCATATGAAACCAACTTTACCTCTATTTGTAGCCTTTGCAATGTCAAGGTGTCGACATATCTGCCATAGGGTGTATATTGTGCAACAAATTATTCAAATAATGAATAATACACAGGCCATTATAATATTTTTTGCCTTTAAATGCACTTCCGAAATTACAATTACTGGCCATTAGCCTACATATGCAGATTAAACATTTCTGAAAACATTTAAATCAAATAAAATGGCATCATTACAAAGAACTAGTTTGTTGAGTATCTGAAAAGGTGTGATGAGAATTAAGAGAAAAACTATTGAAAAATGAACGCCTTATGACTCAAATTAATATATTTTATCCAATATGTACAACAGTAGTGCCATGATACTCCTTATAACCTAAAACAACCAGGTACTTAATATGGTAGCTTGCTCTTTACTTTTCTAAATAAAGGACTTTTGCAGGGATGTCATGAAAAATACTTATTGTTTGGGGTTCTTAAAACAACAACTTCTCTCTGTGTATAGAAAATGTTAATAATCTAAATGGCGTGGCTCTTTTTAAAAGAAACATGGAACAATTTAATAATATGAAGACACCTTAAAGTACCTCAAGCATCTTTTGTGGATTGTAAAGCGTTAGTAGATGTTAAATACGCCACATAAATGCCAACAAAGGACATTCATTTTTATCTTTAAGACATGTAATCATTATAGTATCAATTTATTACCAAATTAATAATGCCAATCAATCGATTTAACAATGTTTTAGATATCAAAGTACAATATAAAAAACTATACACTTAAAATGAGCTGAATCAACACTGTTCTTATATATTGGGGGGGCATACTTAAAACCTAAAACAATCAAAGTACTGGTATTTAACCAGTAACTTAACATGGTAGCCTACACTAATCGTTTAAATGAATAACTTTTGCAGGAATGTCATGAAAAATACTTATTATTTTGGGGTTCTTAAAACAACAACTTCTCTCTGTGTAAAGAAAATATTAAAAATCTAAATGGCATGGCTATTTTTAAAAGAAACACCTGTGTGCATGTTTGAAGAACATATTAGTAATATAAAGACGGTTTATATTATTAAAATTTAATAATTACCACACTAAAGTACCTAAAGAGTGGATTGTAAAGCTTTAGTGGATGTTAAATATCCCTTCTAAAATCATAAATGCCAACAAAGAACATTATTTTGTAGGAACCTTTAAGACATATAATAAATATAGTATTAATTTATTACTTAATTAATAATGTCTTATATATCAACCTAGTAATGGGAAACATCCATATGCACACTCATGCACTACATCCTATTTAGTTTGTCTAATTCCTCTATAGCGAATGTCTTCTGAGAATTAACCCGGAGGAAACCCAACACGGGGAGAACATGCAAACTCCGCACAGAAATATACCAACTGAACCAGCAGGGACTCCATTCAGCGACCTTTTTGCTTTAAAGTGACAGTGGTAACCACTGAGCCACCATATCACCCAAGTTTTATGTTTAATCCACTTAAATTGTGGAACCCAGCTATTTTTACAATGAATGATGTTTGCCGTTTGTTCAAACTACTTATTTAAAATGAGTAGAAACAACACAACTCATAAGGCTTTTGGTTCAATCGACTTAAATCTGTAAAAACTAATACATTAATTCCTCAATGTAATCCTGACACAAATCGACTGTGTGAAACCCAGCACTATATTACAGTGTAATACATTTTTTGTATGGATTCCCATCAGTATGTTCTGCCCGCTACTGAACTGCTGCATCTCCACAGGTATATTTGGGCAGCGTTTGGAAGACACCGTACAGTATGAGAGAAAGTTTGGTCCTCGACTGGCCCCTCTCTTAGTGGAGCAGTGTGTGGATTTCATCAGAGAACAGGGCCTTGATGAAGAAGGACTTTTCCGGATGCCAGGACAAGCCAACCTGGTGAAGGAGCTCCAGGAGGCCTTCGACTGCGGAGATAAACCTCAGTTTGACAGGTACACTGTAAAAAAAAAAAATATATATATATATATATATATATATGTATATATATATATATATATATATATATATATATATATATATATATATACAAACAAAAGTCATGACAACAAATGTTTTTTTAGTGCTACGTTAGCTCATTTTATTGAGTTACTCAGGTTTCATCTAATTTTGCTAAAGTTGAACTTAATATTTTGAGTCCGTTTAATTGAAGTGGAGATGACTATAGAAAATTGTATTTGATTTAACAAAAAAAAAATTAAGCTGCAAGAATTTTTACAGTATACTGAGCATAATCATTCATTCATTCATTTTTTCCCCCGCTTAGTACCTTTATTAATCGCCACAGCGGAATGAACCGCCAACTTATCCAGCATATGTTTTTAGGCAGCTGATGCCCTTCCAGCTGCATCCCAGTACTGGGAAACACCCACACACACACTCATTCACACACACTACGGACAATTTAGCCTACCCAATTCACCTATCCCGTATGTCTTTGGAGTGTGGGGGAAACCGAAGCACCCGGAGGAAACCTATGCAAACACAGGGAGAACATGCAAACTTCACACAGAAATGCCAACTGACCCAGCCGAGGCTTAAACCAGTGAACTTCTTGCTGTGAGGCGAAAGCCCTACCTACTGCGCCACTGCGTCGCCTGAGCATAACCATGAAATAGATAAACATACCCATCAACATTGGGATGTAAAAATAAGGGATAATCATAATATCCAGCATCTCTTATTGATAATGGAGCATTTCCAACAGTCATATCCTTTCATGAATTTACTGATTTGGAGAATGCATAGGATAGACGCATGTTTTTAATGGAGGGAATGTTTGCTGTTTGTTCAATCTACTTATTTACACAATTCTACAAATTACTACACAATTCTTGAGGTTTTTTTTTTTTTGGAGAGAAAACTGTATCATGTTATGCTCAACCTACCTAAATCTGTAGAAACTCCTAATTAACTCCTAATTAATTCCTTCATGTACATTTTTCCCCAAGATTAGAAATGTTAAAAGAAGAATTAGTGACATTATTAGTGTCAATTAGAGAGATGATATGTCAAAAAAGCAGGATATTAATATGTTTTATTACAGGATTTTTGTTTCATATTTTGAAATTTAAGTCCTCTACAATATATTTCTCATTTATTTAATTTTTAATATGTTTTTGTTATTTTATTTAATTAATTATATATATATATATATATATATATATATATATATATATTTTTTTTTTTTTTTTTTTTTTTTTTTGGTGTATTTTGCAGGGACAGAATAAAAAAATATTACAGTCAAATATTTAAACAGAATGATAGCGGGATAGGATAGTAAATGATGTTGGAATCCAGAGGTTGCAGGGTGTGAATAAGCATCTCGGACTGTGCACACAGGGTTCCATTCGACTAATTGTTCAAGTGGTCCCAATGCAAATCGATTAAGTTAACAGTACAAATTTAGGTGGATCTCAAAAAATCTCAAGATTTGTGTTGTTTCAGCACATTTTAAATAAGTAGTTTGAACAAGCAGCATTTATTGAGTGCACTAACACTGCCATTGCTGTCTTTAGTAACACTGACGTCCACACTGTGGCTTCCCTGCTGAAGCTGTATCTCAGGGAGCTTCCAGAACCAGTGGTTCCCTTCTGCAAATATGAAGATTTCCTCACCTGCGCTCAGCTCCTGACCAAAGATGAGGAGGAGGTTAGTGAACACATGACATTCAAAACACTTGAGGATACACTAAAAAAAGTGTAAATAAGCAGTTTTCCATATTTTGTGATTTGTGTTTTATCCCCCCCCCCCCCTTATTTCTGCTTTAGAATTGCATTAAAAGATCTCGATCTTCCTTCTGACAACTTTTACCTTAAAACCATTGGAAAAGTGACTTTTATGAACATTTTTAATAGTTTAAAGCCCGCGATCAGTTTTGTGGCGGCCCGCGAGGCTTTTTATAAATGTTAATAGAATCTGGCCCGCTATACAGAAATGAACGTAATTCAATAAATAACCACCGGGTGTCGCTATTACATGCATTCAATTAAGCAGCAGTTCTTGTTATGATCTATCTATCTATAGTCCCTTTATTACTCTGGGGTCGCCACAGCGGAATGAACCGCCAACTTATCCAGCAAGTTTTTACACAGCAAATGCCCTTCCAGCCGCAACCCATCTCTGGGAAACATCTACACACACATTCACACACACTCATACACTACGGACAATTTAGCCTACCCAATTCACCTGTACCGCATGTCTTTGGACTGTGGGGGAAACCGGAGCACCCGGAGGAAACCCATGCGAAGGCAGGGAGAACATGCAAACTCCACACAGAAACGCCAACTGAGCCGAGGCTCGACCCAGCGACCTTCTTGCTACCTACTGCGCCACTGCCTCGCCACATTAAGTTATATGTTGTCTTATATTAAAACTAAAATAGAGCAATAGTTTTTAAGTTATTTTTTTGTAAAAAAAAAACAAAACTATTTTAAAAGAAACCATTTTAAACATAAGACGAACATGAAACTTTTCTATTTTCACAAACTACATTTTTTAAAGTACCTGAGAATAATACAGGGTTGCCAGGTCCACATTTTTATGTGATTTTTACATTAAAATAAATGTATAAAAATAACAGAAAGAATTAAATGCTTTTTAATGTATGGGGATGCCATATGTTGCTTTTTAATATTTGGACTAATATCGTTGAACTATTTTTGTAAGGCAGACCTGGCAACCCTGCTTAACATTACGTTACAAATTGTCATTAGTTTGAAACTGGTTTGTAATGATGAACACACTAATAATAATTGCCTTAAATATATCAAATGAAGGGCGAAGCAGTGGCGCAGTAGGTAGTGCTGTCGCCTCACAGCAAGAAGGTCGCTGGTTTGAACCTCAGCTCAGTTGGTGTTTCTGTGAGGAGTTTGCATGTTCTCCCTGCCTTCGCGTGGGTTTCCTCCGGGTGCTCCGGTTTCCCCCACAGTCCAAACACATGCGGTACAGGTGAATGGGGTAGGCTAAATTGTCCGTAGTGTATGTGTGTGTGTGTGGATGTTTCCTAGAGATGGGTTGTGGCTGGAAGGGCATCCACTACGTAAAAAAAACTTGCTGGATAAGTTGGAGGTTCATTCCGCTGTGGCAACCCTGGATTTATAAAGGGACTAAGCCGACAAGAAAATGAATGGACAGATCTGCTCTGACCTGTACTCGTTTGTTGAATTAGTTTTGTATTGAGCTGTGTGTGTTAGAATTAGTGCACAATATTTCAGCACTTCAAATCAAAATGCATATTTATGAGCTCGTAAAACAGAAATCTGTCACAGTCAGGATGCAGTTTGCTGGCCAATATTCCTCCCACATATTTCACAGCTGACATGACGCGATGCACAGATTCAGAAGATGCGTGAAGCTACTAATTCCTATATTAAAATCAACTTCAAACACTTTTAACACTTACTAAAGGCTCATTCTCTGTAAAAAACACCATTATTTTCACTTGAAACAAGAAAGAGTTTAGTTGCTTCACTGGATTTATGTTTCCACAGGGAATACAGGAATTAGGGAAGCTGGTGATGACGCTTCCAGCTGCCAATTTCAACCTTCTGAAGTATATATGCAAGTAAGTCCAACAACATCCTTTTAGACACATTTCTATCGAGTCATTTTGCTGGTTCAGTGCTGAAAGTGAGCTCCTTGCAGATTTCTGGATGAAGTGCAGTCTCACTCACATGAAAATAAAATGGGTGTGCAGAACTTGGCCACCGTGTTTGGACCAAATATGCTTCGCCCTAAAATGGAGGATCCAGTAGCTATTATGGAAGGTAAGCTTTAAGTAATTAAATTAAAGCTACTGCTTTGTAAAAGCGCAAACCTGATTTCAGCAAGTAGGACATGTTCCTGGATTTACATATATGTTGATCCTGGAACAGCACTAATATCAGCCAATCAGAATTAAGGAATACGTTTATGTAAAGTTTAGGCTTATGGTTAGATTTATGAACTTCTACATGATTGTTATCCAACTATTATTCCCCTCTGATTCTGGGAATAATTTACAGTTATGGTTGGGTTTAGGGGGAGGGGATAGATATGGATTACATTTTCCAACAGAATTGATGTTCCAGGATCAACATAGATTTTAATTCCAGGATTGTATCGTACTTGGCAAAATCATGACATGCTTTGTAAAAGACGCTTAAAAAAAAGACACTCGAGGGACAGGTTATTTGGCTTAAAATATGCTTTTCAGATGTTATAAGTATGTTAGTTTTAAGGATATCTATAAGCTAGTGTGCTACAAGTTACTTTTTTGACTGTTTGGCACCATCTTGTGTCTGAATAATGCGCAGGTTAGTGTATACTCCATCAGCTGTTTTAGTTTCTGTCAGCTGTGTATTTTTGACTGTTTGGCGCCATCTTGTGTCTGAATAATGCGCAGGTTAGTGTATACTCCATCAGCTGTTTTCGTTTCTGTCAGCTTTGTGTTGTTGACAGTTTGGCGTCATCTTGTGTCTGAATAATGCACAGGTTAGTGTATACTCCATCAGCTGTTTTAGTTTCTGTCAGCTTTGTGTTTTTGACTGTTTGGCGCCATCTTGTGTCTGAATAATGCACAGGTTAGTGTATACTCCATCAGCTGTTTTCGTTTCTGTCAGCTGTGTATTTTTGACTGTTTGGCGCCATCTTGTGTCTGAATAATGCACAGGTTAGTGTATACTCCATCAGCTGTTTTCGTTTCTGTCAGCTTTGTGTTGTTGACAGTTTGGCGCCATCTTGTGTCTGAATAATGCGCAGGTTAGTGTATACTCCATCAGCTGTTTTAGTTTCTGTCAGCTTTGTGTTTTTGACTGTTTGGCGCCATCTTGTGTCTGAATAATGCACAGGTTAGTGTATACTCCATCAGCTGTTTTCGTTTCTGTCAGCTGTGTATTTTTGACTGTTTGGCGCCATCTTGTGTCTGAATAATGCACAGGTTAGTGTATACTCCATCAGCTGTTTTCGTTTCTGTCAGCTGTGTATTTTTGACTGTTTGGCGCCATCTTGTGTCTGAATAATGCACAGGTTAGTGTATACTCCATCAGCTGTTTTCGTTTCTGTCAGCTTTGTGTTGTTGACAGTTTGGCGCCATCTTGTGTCTGAATAATGCGCAGGTTAGTGTATACTCCATCAGCTAGGTTCATTTCTGTCAGCTGAGTATTTTTGACTGTTTGGCGCCATCTTGTGTCTGAATAATGTACAGGTTAGTGTATACTCCATCAGCTAAGTTCATTTCTGTCAGCTGAGTATTTTTGACTGTTTGGCGCCATCTTGTGTCTGAATAATGCTCAGGTTAGTTTATACTCCAGGGGTCACCAACATGGTGCCCGTGGGCACCAGGTAGCCCGCCAGGTTCACATGAGTTGCCCGCAGGCCTGTTCTAAAAATAGCTCACCATAACACCACATATAAGTAAGCTGCATCTAACACTGACGCGCACCTCTTGAAAAATCTAACTAGTGCAAGCTCTGTGATGGGTCGGCTTGGTAGCGGTGATGAGTGTGTGCGGTGCTGAGAGCCACAAGCCTGATGGAGCGAGTGTTTACATGCGTCAAGTCCTGTGGAGGAGCTCCAGATGGAAACTTTTGTTTTGTGTTTACCTTATGATTAAAGTTTATCCACATCCGTCGGTTTCTGCCTCTAAATGAGCAAGATTGAGCTACTTGTACATTAAGATAGTGTTTAGAAAAAAACAAAACACCCGCGAAGAAACTCGACACAGAGTAGGGCTGGGCCAATAAATGCTATTTAATCGAATCACGATACAATTTACGTCAATTACAATGATCAGCTCTGGACTTGTATTATCTATGTTGATCTAAGAGCCAATCACACAGCAGAAATGTGCAACGATAGGAATCGAAAAGTGTGTTGGTATTAGAGATGTACCAAATTTTTGGCCACTGAAAATTTATCGGCAAAAATATGTTATGCCATTTAACGGACCCTTTAATTTCTGTGCCTTCAGTCAGCCTTTAATGTCAAGCCGTTTTTAACATATGTGTGTTTTCCAGGCACCTCCCTGGTTCAGCATCTCATGACGGTGCTCATAAGCGAGCATGATCGCCTATACACCGAAAAAGACTCCGAAGCCTCTCAGACTCAGACAGAAGACCAAAACCAGCAGCAAAATCAACCCTCCACCCTTGTCGACTGGATCTCCGAAGAGGATCTGAACACCACCGGCCCACCGACAGCCAAAAATGACCCTTCCAGCAGCAGTGCCTCGTCAGTGGACGGCGTTTCCACATCCAAAACGATGCCTCAGGGAAAAGGAGAGACGGCTGTGAGTCCTAGTAAACAGCCTAAGACTCTTCCAGGGTGGAAATATACGTTTAATAAAGGCTCCTCTCCAAGACCGCAGTCTGCTAAAGTCAGTGGATCCGCGGTGGACGTGTCCTCAAGTGGGAACTGGCTCATGAATGGACTCTCTTCACTCCGTGGACACCGCCGCACCTCTTCTGGGGAACGTTCAAGAGATTCGGGTTCCTCTCAGAGACTTTCCACTTACGATAACGTCACGTCTTCGTCCAGTCTGGGTAGTGTATTGAGTATGGACAGCACGCCGTGGTCCAGCTCATCATGTGAGATCTCCGTCCCAGACTCTGGAAGTGATCCTTTGGGAACTGAAGACGGGCCGCAGACGGAGCCTAGTGTTCTAGAGGAGCGCACCACTGACGATGAAACCAAGTCTACTGGACAAGAGGACAGTTCAGCGGAGCATCGAGCCAGTGGTTTGTTTAGAAGTGATAATGGGAACGCCGCAGCACCGCTTATTAGAGTTGTGGATGAAGATGCTGATGAAAGTACATCATCTCTGGTCAATGTCGTGGCTGAGCTGAAAGAGGAGCTGAGAGCGCAGAAACAGACGTATGAATCTAGGATTAAAAAGTAAGGCGGCTGTTTGTGAATGAGTGCAGTTGCATTGCTTTAATAAAGTATATTAGTAATAATAGTAGTGCTGTCAAGCGAATAATTGCAATTAGTCGTACTAATAATAATATTTCAAGGTAATGTTTTGTAATAATGTTGATTTATGTTATTATAATCATATATTTGCATATATTTTCATGGCAGGGGTTTACTTTTTTTTCTTGTTTTACTCAAAACACCTTGAAATGTGCTTCCACGATGTCCATAACTGTCAATTACATATGCAGATTAATTCATTACGTTTTCCTCTGACCAAAATCCAGCATCTTAAACCATCATCATATTGACATTTATTCATCAAGTAGGCAACCTAAATCCATCATCTGATAGACGTCATAGTGGTAATGTCCACACAACGTCAAGCTGACGTTGATGTTAGTTTGGCTGTTGGACATTGCTCACTCTCAGAAATAAAGGTACGCGAGCTGTCACTGGGGTGGTACCTTTTCAAAAGGTACACATTTGTACTTAAAGGGTCCATATTGGTACCTTGGAAGTATATATTAGTACCTAGAAAATTTAAGAGGAACACTTTTGTACTTTTTAGGTACTAATATGTACCCTTAAGGTATTAATATGAACCTTTTTGTTACAAATTGCACCTTTTTTACCTTTTGAAAAGGTACCACACCAGCGGCAGCTCTCGTACCTTTATTTCTGAGAGTGCTGTCGGCCTGACGTTGAGTTCTGACGTCAAACCGATTTTCATTTCCAAACAAAACACACCGTCCCCGGGATGCTGAGGTACAACGTCAATCAGCGCCTCATCAGTGGACGGCGTTTCCACAATCAAAACGATGCCTAAGAGAAAAGGAGAGACGGCTTTGAGTCCTAGTAAACAGCCTAAGACTCTTCCAGGGTGGAAATATACATTTAATAAAGGCTCCTCTCCAAGACCGCAGTCTGCTAAAGTGAGTGGATCTGTGGTGGACGTGTCCTCAAGTGGGAATTTGCTCATGAATGGACTCTCTTCACTCCGTGGACACCGGTGCACCTCTTCTGGGGAACATTCAAGAGATTCTGGTTCTTCTCAGGGACTTTCCACTTACGATATGTACCCTTAAGGTATTAATATGAACCTTTTTGTTACAAATTGTACCTTTTGAAAAGGTACCACACCAGTGACAGCTCTCGTACCTTTATTTCTGAGAGTGCTGTCAGCCTGACGTTGAGTTCTGACGTCAAAACGATTTTCATTTCCAAACAAAACACACCGTCCCCAGGATGCTGAGGTACAACGTCAATCAGCGCCTCATCAGTGGACGGCGTTTCCACATCCAAAACGATGCCCAAGTGAAAAGGAGAGACGGCTGTGAGTCCTAGTAAACAGCCTAAGACTCTTCCAGGGTGGAAATATACGTTTAATAAAGGCTCCTCTCCAAGACCGCAGTCTGCTAAAGTGAGTGGATCCGCGGTGGACGTGTCCTCAAGTGGGAACTGGCTCATGAATGGACTCTCTTCACTCCGTGGACACCGGCGCACCACTCTAGGGAACGTTCAAGAGATTCGGGTTCCTCTCAGAGACTTTCCACTTACGATATGTACCCTTAAGGTATTAATATGAACCTTTTGTTCAAATTGTACCTTTTTTACCTTTTGAAAAGGTACCACACCAGTGACAGCTCTCGTACCATTATTTCTGAGAGTGCTGTCAGCCTGACGTTGAGTTCTGACGTCAAACTGATTTTCATTTCCAAACAAGACACAACGTCCCCAGGATGCTGAGGTACAACGTCAATCTAACGCCATATTGCCGTCTTGTGCCTGCTGGGTGTTTAAAGCCATTATGGTCATCATACATTCTCAGAAATAAAGGTACATGAGCTGTCACTGGGGTGGTACCTTTTCGAAAGGTACGCATTTGTACCTAAAAGGTCAATTTTAATACCTCAAAGGTACATATTGGTACCTAAAAAGTACAAAAGTGTTCCTATTAAAATTTGTTGGTTTTAATATTTACTTTTGACGTACTGATATGGACCCTTCAAGTACAAATGTGTACCTTTTGAAAAAGGTACCAGCTCATGTACCTTTATTTCTGAGATGGTACAGTAAACATCCGTCATCTTCTCATCAGTGACCTGCATCTAAACAGACTCTGGGTCAATGCGTGTAAAGATTTTGGACATCCTCTTGGACACTTTTAATGCTTCCAAACAGTTTGCTGTAACTATAAATCACCCATGTCTTGAGGTAGTTCATGATGATGCGATTTACCTTCTGTATAGATTTGAATGGACAGGAATCACAGGACTGATATTTCTAATCCTCATAGACGGGAAAAAATAAAGTAGTGACTGCAGGTTGAAGGAAAACAGTGGAGTATAAGTACCAATACAGACTAAAAATGTACTGAAGGGAAAGTAAAAGTAGAACTACTTACTAAATTACAATTCCTGAGAAAAACTACTCAATTACAGTGGTTTGATTATTTGTAATAAGTTACTTTACACCACTGTAAATACCGAATTAATTAAAAAAACCGAGCCCTATTAGGAAGACAGTGGTATTTATCAACTTAATTTTAAAAAATCAGCAAAAATAATAATAATAATAATAATAATAATATGCAATAATCTAAATAACCCATATGTTTTGCATCAGTTTTATTAGGCATATACAGTTGAAGTCAGAATTATTAGTCCCCCTGTTTATTTTTTTCCCCAATTTTTAACGGAGAGAAAATTTTTTCAACACATTTCTAAACGTAATAGTTTTAATAACTAATTTCTAATAACTGATTTATTTTAGCTTTGCCATGATGACAGCACATAATATTTGACTAAATATTCCTCGACACTTAAAGTGGCATTTAAAGGCTTAATTAGGGTAATTAGGTTAACTAGGCAGGTTAGGGTAATTAGGCTTATTGTATAACGATGGTTTGTTCTGTGGATTATCGAGAAAAATATAGACTAAAGGGGCTAATAATATTGTCCCTAAAATGGTGTTTAAAAAATTTAAAACTGCTTTTATTCTAGGCTAAATAAAACATATAAGACTTTCTCTGGAAGAAAAAATATTATCAGACATACTGTAAATATTTCCTTGCTCTGTTAAACATCATTTGCGAAATATTTAAAAAAGAAGAAAAAAATCGAAAGGGGCTAATAATTCTGACTTCAACTGTGTATATTATGTTGTTTTGTTTTTTAATTGGTTCAGTAGTGATGGGGATGCATGTATTGTCCACTCACATATGCATGTGTTCTGCCCTCTGCAGGCTGGAAGAGTCAAACACAGCCCTGTGTGCTCATATGGAGAGACTTGAGCAAGAGATGGAGCAGGACAGGAAACGGAAACGAATGCTGGAGATCAAACTCAGAAACTCTGAACGTGCCCGCGAGGACGCAGAAAACCGCAATCGCCTACTGGAGAAAGAAATGGAGGACTTCTTCGCCACGCTGGGAGACCTGGCTCTCGGAAGCCGCACCAGTGACATATAAAGCAGAAATAACACACACACACACACACACACACCCAAAGTCAAGAGGACCACGCAAAATGTTGATTCAAAAAGCACTCAGGCGTCTTCATAATTCATACCGACAACTTTATGTCTGTAAAATTGACTCTTTGTTGTATTTTAAGCCTGATTAGATGAAATAAGTACAAGAGCATCTTTTGCATGTTCAAGGATTCCAGAATGAATACTAAAAAGGTACAAGCAGATCTGTTCACGTAAAAACAGCGAGTAAACCTGTTGCTTTAGATTTCTTCATTGAATGAACTGTTAACAGGCCTGTAGCCTGGGGGGTTCGGGTGGTTAAAAAGAACTACCCCCCCCCCCCCCCACCCCCCCCCCCCCCCACTAACAAAGGTCCAAAACTTGCCATTGGTCCTGAATTTTAGCCACTACAGACCTTTTTCTTGGAATGCAAAATTACCCATTATGCTTTGCGTGTATGCGCTAAGAGAATGCGAAGAACTTCCGGTCGGCAGCTGATGCGTGTAAACAGTCGCATTTGGACAGCTTTGAAACGATAGTTTTAATCTATTTTACCTGCTTTTATCCTCTCTGAACTAATACTGTTGTCCATCAGCAGCATCTCCTGGACTGATCATTTAAAGAAATGTGATCTAATAGGATGGAAAACAGCTGCTGTGAGGCGTTTTCCCCTCGTTGTCAGACGGCATCTTCTGCAGTTTAAATGAAGCCTCGTCATTGCTAAAGTCAACATTTTCTCTTTATTTCAAATATATAACCAGCCCAAACTAATGTAGTTCACCAAAATGTTTGACACACACACTTAGCCAATACTGTGCCACTGACACACTGATTTAATAACTGTGACAAAGTGAAAATATAGGCTAGTGTCATTTCCAAATAACAGAAAAACACAAACCGTGGTGAAAACAACACACGAAATACACAAACGGCTCGTGATTAGAATGAACAGCAAATCAGCAGCAGAGGATCAATAACAGACTTTTATTGCTCATTTTTGTAAATTGCACGACTTTCATACCTGTTAAGTTTCATGCCAGTACTCTGGTTTGCTCTCTCTCTCTCTCTCTCGCTGTGTGTTAAAGAGCCGCTGAGCTAACACTGTATTTCTGACGGCAGACACGTGAACTAGGAGAACGTTTTTCTCGTATTTCTGACGCGTTTGAACCACATGTGACAGATTATAACGGCTTTAACAGACACATTTCTAAGTTTTGTGTCACAAAAACACTCTGTTCTCCATTAAAAACGTCATTGAAACCCATTTTCAGAGCGCAAATTACCAGTTGTACACGCTGTAAACGGAAGTTTTCACATTCTACCGGAAGACGCTGGTCGCTATTGCGCCCTCCATGCAGCAGCCATGAAAAAGGTCTATATTCTCATCTATTTTGACTGCTATGGCATCATAAATTGTGGAAATAACCCATCGAAGGTGTTAAGAAAACGCAAAATATGACATGTGAAGTCAACAGACTACAAAAAAATCAAAAACATTTTACAAGTAGCCTAACTTTTATTTTAAATCTGGAATCTTATTCTTGCAATATAGGTCCCTTAACCAAGATGAAAACCGCAATTCCCAAGCGCGTACAGGGTTCAATGTTAAGGATTATTTCCACTGGCCTGACTGGACCAGTGGTTCAGATTTTTACTTGCCCTGCCAAAGTTTTCACTGGCCCCACCAAAAAAAAAAAGTGAATTGCTATTTCTTAGCCACATATTTTAAATAATGTGTCAAAAATAAATGTCTGTGAATCTATAATTTAAATATTTTATAAATGTTAAAAAAAAATAGCAGTAAAACATAGCAGTATGGAAAATGTGCATGTGTTTTATTGCAAAACAAAAAGTGACTGACTTAAAAGTGACGGCAAACCAAGCAAAACCCACGTCGTCTTGTACCCAGGTCAACAGACGTTTTCTGTTAGCCTCATATTTTGATGTGACGTCAGGTTGCTGTCTCTTTGCTGTACTGGTTTTTACCAGGTTATGGAAAAAAAAATACTTGCTTACAACATCCAATCAGATATACGAAAACGATAAGATATGGTGTTTACGACTTCACAGAGAAGGCAGCATTCAAAGACTTAAAAGAACAAATAGTTTCTTGATTCTCAGGGTGCTTTCACACCTACACTTTTGTTTCGGAACGTATCTCGTTTGCCCAGTTAGCACGGTTCGTTTGGCATATGTGAACAGGGCAATCGCGCTCTGTTCCACGAAAAAAGTAATCGCTCCGAGATTGCTTGAATGAGGTGGTCTCGGCTCGATTAAAACGAACCCTGGAGCGGTTCGATTGCAGTGAGAAAGCGATCCGATCCGAGCGCGGTTATATCACAGTGTTTTATGGATATGTAATAGGCATACGGCTATATGAAGAGAGAATTATGAGTAGGGCGGGAAGTTTCGCGAGTCTCCGGATGCCCGCAAACAAGTGATGATCTCCCGGTAATCTCGCGTCTCTCTCCCAGTCCTCAAATAGGCATCGTCGCGCACCCTTCTCACCCCTCCCCACCGCGTCTCTCCTCAGACACGTCACGCGCACCCTGTCAATCACCATCAAACCACCACCTCTCCTGACAGCTGAGCGGGACGCTGCAAAATAAACCCTGACACTCTGACCAATGTGAGGAGAGTTTACTCGCACGTGACTTGTTTTAGCTCTTTTGGTCCGATTAGAAACTTTGCAGTGTGAAAGTGAACCGCTCCAAGAGCAAAGAGCAACAATGTAACAATTTTAATCTCTGTTTCGGAACAACTGAATCGATTCACAGGTGTGAAAGCACCCTTAGACTGTATTTGCATGCAATTGATAAATAGTAGCAGGCAAATTGAAATTTAGTGACCTGATTGGGCCAGTAACGATTCTGTCTACTGTCCCGAGCATCTCTTACACTGACACCGGGCCATTGGGCAGTCCTTATTGTTGAACCCTGGCGTATTGAACTGTGGAGGTCGTACCGTACAGTTCAATATTACATTGAGAACCATGGCATCCCTAGTAAGTACACAATGTAAACGCAAAAGAGTCAAGCTTAAATGATCAAAACTCTTGGGGAGTTTTTAAAATAGGCCTATTTTGGAAAAAAAGGTGTTGTGTTCCTTTAAGACAACTTTCTTTTTTTAAGTAACTAAAAGCTTTTTACAGTATTGGTACATTTAGCAGACCACTGCCCGAGAAAAACACAGAGGCTGGGACGGTGACTTGTGTTGAGAATGTGATCTCACTTGGTTAAAATGGCGGATGTTTTGGTGCACTGTCAAAGCCACTTCCCATTTACACAAAAAACACAAACGCTGTGACTTTTGTCAGTCGATCGAATTTATTTGACACGGTTTAAGTGTATAGAAGGTCTAGAAATGCTCCGTGGATGTTTCTTAAAGTGAGTGATCAAATGTTATAGATTTTGTAGACTCGGCTCATTCTCTGAACTGTTGCATAGTAGGTCATATATTATATATTAGCATGATGGCCGTGTAGCCTAATGGTTGACTTTTGTTCCAGGCTGCTAATAGGATCGTTTCAGGTTCAATCTCCAGAAGAAGAGACCCAGAAACTGGACATCACCACTGTGCCCTCAAGCAAAACTGCTTTTTTGCTGCTCAACATGTTTCGGTTACTCAATCCAGTTGGATGTTACTAGACGGACAGCTTTTACAGAGGACATATTTAGAGTATGTGAAGATGTTATACATCATTATGATTGTAGACTATGATTATTCATGAGGATTAGTCTCGTGTGCTGTGCTGAAAAGTGTCACTGTTGGTGGTATGTCATTATTCACAAAGATTTAAATTAAATGGTAAACTTTAAAGAACGCAACTGATCTGTTGTCTGCTTTGTCATCGGTTACACAGAAGTGTCTTATTTTCTATGAATTTGCAATAGGGTAAATACGTAACATTTAGCACTATACTGTAGGTCCATTAACCAAGGTGAAATAATGTAAACGAAAGGGTAAAATAAATACCTGTTAGCCCTATAGGTCCATTAACCAAGGTGAAATAATGTAAACGAAAGGGTAAATAAATACCAGTTAGCCTTATAGGTCCCCTAACCAAGGTGAATTATTGTAAACAAAGGGGTAAAATATCAGTATAGTCCAATAGATCACTAACTAAGGTGAAAAAATGTAAACAAAAGGGTAAATACATACCAGTTAGCCCTATAGGTCCATTAACCAAGGTGAAATAATGTAAACAAAAGGGTAAATACATACCAGTTAGCCCTATAGGTCCATTAACCAAGGTAAAATAATGTAAACAAAAGGGTAAATAAATACCAGTTAGCCTTTTAGGTCCCCTAAACAAGGTGAATTATTGTAAACAAAGGGGTAAATATCAGTATAGTCCAATAGATCACTAACCTAGGTGAAAAAATGTAAACAAAAGGGTAAATAAATACCAGTTAGCCCTATAGGTCCATTAACCAAGGTGAAATAATATAAACAAAAGGGTAAATAAATACCAGTTAGCCTTATAGGTCCCCTAACCAAGGTGAATTATTGTAAAAAAAAGGGGTATAATATAAGTATAGTCCAATAGATCACTAACTAAGGTGAAAAAATGTAAACAAAAGGGTAAATAAATACCAGTTAGCCCTATAGGTCCATTAACCAAGGTGAAATAATGTAAACAAAAGGGTAAATAAATACCAGTTAGCCCTATAGGTCCATTAACCAAGGTGAAATAATGTAAACGAAAGGGTAAATAAATACCAGTTAGCCCTATAGGTCCATTAACCAAGGTGAAATAATGTAAACAAAAGGATAAATAAATACCAGTTAGCCTTATAGGTCCCCTAACCAAGGTGAATTATTGTAAACAAAGGGGTAAATATCAGTATAGTCCAATAGATCACTAACCTAGGTGAAAAAAATGTAAACAAAAGGATAAATAAATACCAGTTAGCCCTATAGGTCCCCTAACAAAGGTAAAATAATGTAAACAAAAGGGTAAATAAATACCAGTTAGCCCTATAGGTCCAATAACCAAGGTAAATTATCGTTAACAAAGGGTAAATAAATACCAGTTAGCTCTATAGGTCCCTTAAACAAGGTGAATTAATGTAAACAAAAATGCCAGTTAGCCCTATAGGTCCCTTGACCAAGGTGAATTAATGTAGAGAGAGGTAAAAATGTCAGTTAACCCTATAGGTCCCTTAATGAAGGTGAATTAACGTAGACAAAGAATTAAATACACCAGTTAGCCCTTTAGGTCCCTTAACCATGGTGAATTAATGTAAACAAAGAGTTATAGTTAGCCCTATAGGTCCCTTAAACAAGGTGAATTAATGTAAACAGAAATGCCAGATAGCCCTATAGGTCCCTTGACTAATGTGAATTAATGTTAAAAAAGGAGTAAATAAATACCAGTTAGCCCTATATGTAACTTAAACGAGGTGAATTAATAGTAAACAAAGAGGTAAATATCAGATAGTCCAATCACTTAACCAAGCTGAATTCATGTAAACAAAAATACCAGTCAGCCCCGTATGTCCCCTAATCAAGGTGAAATAATGTAAACAAAAGGGTAAATAAATACCAGTTAGCTTTATAGGTCCCTTAACCACGGTGAATTAATGTAAACAAAGGGGTAAATACCAGTTAGCCCTGTATGTCCGTTAACCAAGGTGAAATAAATGTAGACTAAGAGGTAAATCAACCAGTTAAGTCCCTTAACCAATGTGAATTAAAGGGGTAAACCAGTTAGCCCCCCATAACCAAGGTGAATTAATGTGATCAAACGGGTTCCACCAAAACACAACATAACAGGCACAAGAAACACTCCAGTTTCTTAAATAAGATAGACTAATTTTACAACTCACCTAGGATGAACAGTTGAGTTTACCATTGTTTAATCCATTCTGCCAATCTGGCGGGAGCACATTTAGCTTATTAGCTTATAGTTGAATGGATCACACGGGTGCTGTACATAAAACCCATCTTATACATTCATTCTGTTTTCCTAAATTAGTCCAGCAAAAGTAAAAGAAACGAGTGAGTGAATCATGTGCACCGGAAAGGATGCCTGTTGTACTGCCTTGCTTTTTGATCAGTTTTTTTTTTCACTCAGAAGGAGACTTGCTTAAACCCTGGTAGTTAGTTAAGACTCAGCGAGTTGTCTAATTATGAAACAGACTTTTGATTTCTGTCATGTATGCAAACGTTACTTTAAATTATTTAGTTAATTATTTACCTTACATTGATTTGACTGCGCTTCAGACGCCATCTTGTGGTCAGACGCGGGAATTCCTTTGGAGCGCGAACTTTCAAAGTGCATTATAGGGATTTTCTAGCTGTTGAGTGCGCTTCATAATGTCCACTATTGGTTTCGCACATAACTTCAAAAGACTTTCCCTCAAACAGGCACTATGAGGGTATAGTTGGAAGGATACAGCCCTAGACACAATCCATAGGCTATTATTAAACCTGTTGCAGTCATGGTTGGCTATGTGCAGGAAATGTCCTTGCTTATGCCACAATATCTGCCTGTAAAATAGCAACTTTTATTTCCATCAGCCTTAGTACACTACGCAGCAGAAGAGTCAAGCTTTAAATAGGAAGTTATACAAACTTTTTTCATAAAAGTTAGATACCAATTTTTTATGATTTATGCTAAGCTAAGCTAAAAACCCCAACTGAAAAAACTGCTTAAACCAGCCTAGACTGGTTGACTGGTTTTAGCTGGTCAACCAGGCTGGTTTTAGAAGGGTTTTGGCCATTTCCAGCCTGGTCTTAGCTGGTCAGGCTGGGAGATGACCAACTAAAACCAGCTTGACCAGCTAAGCCAGGCTGGGAGCCCAGCCAAAACCAGCTACAGTATGTCCAGCTTAAACCAAGCTGGATTTAGCTGATAATTTTTCAGCCTGACCAGGCTGGAAACCAGCCTGGAAATGGCCAAAACCCCTCTTAAACCAGGCTGTTCAACCAGCTAAAACCAGCCAACCAGCCAAGGCATGTTTAAGCTGGATTTTTCAGCAGGAAGTGCTTCTGCCAAATACAAATAGACAAAATAGATTTTTTAAAAATGGTACAACTCAACTGTTAATTAAGACGTTCCTTTAAAGACGTGTTAGATAATGATATCAATTTGTTAATTCTTTCTCATTCTCCATCAGAGGGTCACTGAAACATCTACTTAACCAATTCATTCTGTAACACCGCTTCTTGGTGGACTGGGGAGAAAATAAATACATAAATAAATAAGACACAAGAGAGATGGAGAATTAGTTCTGATTCAAACTGGTGTTTATTTGCAGTACATGTACAATTGGCATCATAAGATCCCAGTGCATTCTTTGTAGTAGTGCACTTCTCATCGTCTGTATGCTGTTTAGTGCACACAGAGCTAGCAATTGGATAACTAACTGTAGGGCTGGCATTGCTAGCAAATATTACATACCAGCACCAAATCTTAACACGCTGGATAATTTACAGATGCTTTTGAACAGGACTCAAAGTCCAGGAGCTAAACTGAACACCTTGCTAACATCAGCCACAGATTTTCATTTTTGGTAAAACAGGTCATGTAACATTGACAAAACAAAACAAAATCCAGGTTTAAAAAGACAAAACATTAATTTCTCGGACAGTACCAAAACATCTCTCTACCTCTGGGTACGTAAAACTAATAAGTCTAGATCTAGCGATTACAACTAGCATGACAGCAGTGGGTATTGCACATGAACTGTAAAAAAATGAGTACAAAGAAGGAAATTAAACAAAGAGATCAAATTTACATTTCAGTTCTTTTACTTCTAGGTGAAGTATACATAATGTACAAAACTACACGTCGCCTTATATTGACAATAGTTCACTTTAGAAATAAATAAATAATGAAATCTGTATTAACATCTATCTTACGGTCAGCTATGTCGCAAAAAAAAAAGGAAAATCTGTAGAAATTTAGAGTGAGGTAGTTCATCAAAGCCTACTTTGATCTGAATCATAACGTGTTTGAGAGTTGAAGTGAAAGCGAACACAACTGAGGAAAACAAAGAGTATTAAAATTCCTTGACGTGCCTAAAGAGAGCAAAGAAAGAACTTAAGAGCACTTAAAATGGAAAACAAACATGAACGGGATGCGACTAAAACAAAATGTCTGCCAATCGTTACGCAAACCTTCCATTTCCTTCGATCGCCATACACATACATTCGATAGCATTGCCTCATGGGAAATGTAATTCCCACTTTACAGCATTTGATGCATATTTCCATATAGAAAATAAAGCCGCGAACCAAACACGACAAAAAAAGTTCCAATTTACTTTGATGAAAGACCTTGCTTGAGAAAAACGTCCAATCACATTCTCAACATACCCCAAAAACCTTCAAGCTACATCCGGAACAATACAAAAATAGACACTCCAACTTGACAAGAACAGGAATACTTTGGAAAACCTCACCCAAATTTCTCCTTTCTGATCGTTCAGAAATCGATGCTGGACTCTCGAGGCACTTTCTCCATTTAGAAAGCAAATCAAAAAGCAAAGATAACCCAATGATGAATGGCGTTTTTGAACATTTAGCGATGGATTTAACACATTAAGGTCATGATGTACGCTTCACATCAAGTGTACAGTAGGATGAGCATAGATTACACTACATACACCAGCTATGTACACATATTATTACATTCCAAACATTACATAGGCATTTTTTTCCTCTTAATATTACAATGGAAAAACTGTAGCCAATTACATTTGTCTTGATAGTATTTGTGTCTCATTTGCCAGTGAAATATGAAAACATTGACTTTCTCGAAATACCTCAAGCAATTTTGCCTATTTCTGAAAATAATAGCAGTACAACATGGCTAACCAGAATACGTTTTTAGCATATTTTGTTTATTGCTTCATGGCAAGCAAGTCACAAGTAGGTGCAGCAGATTCTTAGAATAAAAACAGGACCCAGCATTCATGATATGCACGCTCTTCAGGCTGTGCAATTGGCAATTAATTGAAAGGGGTGTGTTCAAACAATGATTCATTCTTGAAAATAGATTCGCTTCATCTGGCATGTGCTTGGTAGCTCCTCACAGTAGTGATGGGTCGTTCATGAACGATTTGTTCATTTTGAACGAATCTTCAATATGACTCTGGAACTACGAGTCTTCTCAGGGAGTGATTCGTTCATCCGCGTGCGCACATTTGTGTAGGTGGTATCGTTCATTTAAAGTCTTTGGAGTCGTTCATAGCGGAAAGGCAGATGCCAATCATATGCGTTTAGACCCGGAAAAAAAAGAATTGAACCGTTCATCTCTCGAGTCCTCTATCGGGTCGGAGTCATTCGTTCCTCACGGGCCAATCATATGCGTTTATAGCCGGAGAAAGAATTGATCTGTTCATCTCTCGAGTCCTCTATCGGGTCGGAGTCATTCGTTCATCACGGGCCAATCATATGCGTTTAGAGCCGGAAAAAGAATTGAACTGTTCATCTCTCGACTCCTCGGGATTGAGTCATTTTGTCATGTGATGAACGAACGACTCAAGAACCAGAAGATTGGTTTAGACTGTGTGTGTACATTGAACGAAACACTGACTTTCGAAGACATGAAGAGGTGAGCTGAGCAAAGAGACGACAATACCTTCATTGACAAAAGAGCAGGTCAACATTGAATTATTATTTTCTCCTTCTTATAGTGATCTATTTATGACGTAATTGTCATGTGATCAACCTTTTGGGCTAGTTGTAGATGTGTTTGGAAGCAATTTGTAACATTTTAATAATATTTTGGCAAATTGAACCAAATGAGCGAAATGACTCGAAAAAAGATTCGCTCATCTTGATGAACAAGACTCAAAGATCCGAGTCAGTAAAATGATCTGAACTTCCCATCACAACCTCACAGTAGTGATGTGCGGATCAATACTAAAATATCGATATCTCCGATGCTAGCTTTGTGTGTTCTAGAATCGATTATCTTATCAAAATATTGATATTTCAGTAATTTGGAGCAAATATGTCATTTATTGGAAATAGAAATACAGTGGAAAGTAACCACAATTACCCTAGTTTATCGGAATAATGCCAACTTAGTCGGAACTACTTGTTCTTCCGCTTGCCGAGTCATGTGCATAATATGGCACTGTACAACTGCAGAGCACGCTAGCTAGCCGCTCAGTCAGTCCGCTGGCACATGTTGTTCAGTTGTGCTGTCATTGGATATGGGTGACCGCAAGCGAAGTTTTGTGTGGAGCTACTTCACTTCCATAAAATCAAACAATGCGGTTTGTGACACGTGTAACAAAACAATGAGGTACTGTGGTAATACCACAAACCTATTCAAACGCCTACATATAAATCACAAGACAGAATATGACTAGGTGGTCAGAAGAGGAGGAAAGAAGAGGCACAGGCGCTGCTGGGGCAAGACAAACATCGCTTTCAGAGTCCTTAGGTGCAGCAGGCAGGCAATATCCAGGTACAGAGGGAGAAAATGTGGCTGTATGTGGACGTAGATGGTGGTTGCCGGAAGTAGCTTGTTCTCCGTTGAAATGAGTGGTCGCTTCTCTCTCGCTTTGCCGGTGTGAGTCACTAGTAGTGTGAATGAGGCTTGACGCGTTTAAATGAAGCGGCAATGTTGTTGGTGTTGCAAGGGGAAATCCTCTTGCCGACACCGGACAACAGCTCCTCAAACTGGGCTTGGCTCAGTCGGATGCACTGCTAAAAGCGTCCATCATCCGGATATAGATTCTGGTGGAGTTGATGAACCTCTGGGTGCACCTCTGAAAGGATCTAGTGGACTAATGGCGCCAAACAAATCTACGCTGTTTTTCAGCCTTCATAAAGCACAGCTACTACCTCAATAAAATCCATGTTAGCCATTTAGCATCGAAACTAGAGTCACGAATTTGACTCTATTTGAATATGAGTCGAATTTGACGTGCGGATGAAGCGAGAAAACACAAAAGGTTCAACGGTGTAAACGCACCATGAGGCTTTTTTCAAATGCATGTTCAACAAACATGTCCTTAAATAGGGGCCCACCTGGTTCACACCTGTTTTATCCCAAAATTGATGACCTCACTGATCGAAATACCACACTGCTATTTTTTTAAACACACCCCCTTCAACTAATTGCCCAATTGCACATCCTTAAGAGCGTGCATATCATAAATGCTCGTGTTTGTTTTTTGAGAATTTACTGCACCTGGTAACTTGTTTGCCATGTAGCAATAAAAATTATTATGAAAATCTGGATTATTCTGGTTAGTCATGTTGTCCTGCTATTATTTTGAACGCTACTGTAGAAAACCATCACATTTAAGCAATGTTTACACATTTCCACTTAAAGCAAACAAGAAATGAGAAACGTTGCGTTCATTTTTCATGCTCCTTTGGGTTTCATTAATATTCATTCTATATTCATTTAGCAAGAGTGCTGCATCCAGTAAATCAGTTCGGTGTCTTAACGCATACTCAATAAGACAACAAAGCTGTATGCATATTGGTTATAAATTCAAAATCAGTACTGGAAAAATCGAAAGCATTTTGTATGCATGGGCCAAAAACCTGGCATGGGCTTCAGATCATATATTGAAGTGTTCAGACATGAAGAGCTGTGACTGTACAGTTGAAGCGGAATTAAGCTGGGATGTTTTCTGTGTTTGTAGATGAAATATGTACAGGCTAGATTACATAATGTGAATTCTGAAAACCCAAACGTGTTTTTACAGAGAGAATATTATGTGAAGTAAATCTTGTGTGTGGAAATTAGAGGAAAAATCAGCTTACAGATCCCGAAAAAGCACTTTAAAATGTGATTCTGTAAGACAACCGAATTAAACGTTCAACTAATCGTGATTTAGTTACACAGGCCATAAATTAAACCACTTATCAGACCAAAACAAACATACAGATGCCTTTTATACTCCAAAGCAGTAGTAACAGTGTGGAAATACTCACTTGTCCAAAAAAAATGGACGTGCCATTTAATGAACCTCCACTCATTAGTGATTAAAATGACTCTCAAAAAAATAAAACATCTCGAAAAAAATATATTCACCATTTATCTTTACAAATAAACTTGAATCATTCCACTTCCGAATGGCAAGACGACGTAGCAGTAGCTTCAATTTGATGCAAAGTTCAAAATAAAAACAGGAAAGCAGTGAAAGTAATGCTGGTTTGGTGTAAAAGCCTTTGAGATGCCCTCAAAAAAACTATCCCCGCCACTCTTACACTTTTGAATTGACAAGAGCTTGAAAGTTTGAGGATTCTGGAGGGTGATGGAGAATTCTGGAGGGTGATGGAGAATTCTGGAGGGTGATGGAGAATTCTGGAGGGTGATGGAGAATTCTGGAGGGTGATGGAGAATTTTGGAGGGTGATGGACGATTCTGGAGGGTGATGGAGAATTTTGGAGGGTAATGGAGAATGTTGGAGGATGATGGAGAATTTTGGAGGATGATGGAGAATTTTGGAGGGTAATGGAGGATTTTGGAGGGTGATATATGATTTTGGAGGGTGATGGGAGATTTTGAAGGGTTATGGAGGATTTTGGAGGGTGATGGATGATTTTGGAGGGTGATGGAGGATTTTGGAGGGTGATGGAGGATTTTGGAAGGTAATGGAGGATTTTGGAGGGTGATGGATGATTTTGGAGGGTGATGGAGGATTTTGGAGGGTAATGGAGGATTTTGGAGGATGATGGAGAATTTTGGAGGATGATGGAGAATTTTGGAGGATGATGGAGAATTTTGGAGGGTGATGGAGAATTTTGGAGGGTGATGGAGAATTTTGGAGGATGATGGAGAATTTTGGAGGGTGATGGAGGATTTTGGAGGGTGATGGAGGATTTTGGAGGATGATGGAGAATTTTGGAGGATGATGGAGAATTTTGGAGGGTGATGGAGGATTTTGGAGGGTAATGGGAGATTTTGAAGGGTTATGGAGGATTTTGGAGGGTGATGGAGGATTTTGGAGGGTGATGGAGGATTTTGGAGCGTGATGGAGAATTTTGAAGGGTGATGGAGGATTTTAGAGGGTGATAGAGGATTTTGGAGGGCGATTGAGGAGGATTTGGGAGGTGACAGAGGATTCTAGAGGAAAATAGAGGATTTTAGAGGGCAACTGAGTATTTTGAAGGGTGAATGAAGAGATTTTGGAGGTGACAGAGGACTCTGGAGGAAAATGGAGGGCAATTAAGGATTTTGAAGGATAATGTAGGAGGATTTTGCCGGTGACAGAGGATTTTGGAGGAAAATGAAGGATTTTGGAGGGCGACAGAGGATGAAGAATCCTGACAAACACAATGAGGGATTTTGGAGGGTAATGGAGGATTTACGGGGTAGTGGAGGATTTTGGAGGGTGAATGAAGACAATGGAGGATTTTGGAAGGTAACTGAGGAGAATGGAGGAATTTGGAGGGCGATTGAGGATTTTGGATGGTAAACAAAGAAGGATGGAGGATTTTAGAGGGTAACAGAGCATATTTGAGGGGGCTAGAGGATTTTGGAAGGTGACAGGGGAGGATGGAGGATTTTAAAAGGCCAATGGGAGGATTTTGGAGGATGAAGAACCATGACAGAGAACAATAGATGATTTTGGAAGGTGATGAAGCATTTTGGAGGATGAAGAATCATGACAGAAGACAATGGAAGGTGATGAAGGATTTCAGAGGGTGACGGAGGTTGAAGAAGGATGGTCATCTGCAGCAGTGCAGCGCTCCGTTGGACGTCTCCTGACTGCTGTCGGTGTCTGAGGTCAGCGTGACCTCGGTGGACATGGACGACACATCGTTTATGGAGGAGGACGACGTCGAGGGCTCATGGGAGTCACTGCTCACTGCTGCACCTGTGCTATGAGAAACAGAGCCAATGTTTATCAGACAGGTTCTGCAGAGACAATGGGGGAATATGGTCATAATGGACTCACACAATAGCTTAATTCTTCCACTAAAACACATGAATGCACACAATATTGGATGTTCAGAAGAGAAAAACTTGAGTCATGTGAACCAAATCATCAAACGTAATGACAAAAGAGAGATGTTATACTAAAAATAAATTATATTTAACATGAACGGACATAGCTAGACAGGTTAAAAACAATCTGGCAAACATTAATAGTCATTTAACGATTTAAATATTGCTAGTATTGACCTTATTTGGTCATGCGGAAGTGCGCTTGTTTTTGCGATTCTTTTAGAACTTTCGATTCAGTTGCCTATAGGAGAAATGACTAGGAAAAATAAGCAGTCAAACTACTTGCTCTACAATTAAGTGTGTTCATGAATATAGAGAAAAAGAGTTCAATATTTTAAAAAGAAAACATTAGTTTGTAGCATGAAGCATTATAACGAGCTGTTTTTAACATCTAAAAATCAATGAAAGTAAATGAGAGGGGAAGTCTCAAGCCAAGAAGATTCCAATGGCTGCGTCCGCTCGTACATGAAGAACAAGGTTAATATAAAACACTCAAATTATTTAGCTGTAATGCACTTTTAAAAACTTCAGAAAATTAATACTTGGAAAATATTAGTTCTGCTGTTGTTTGTGTCCCAATGTGTAGTAAAGCTCATTACTGCCCTCTAATTAGTGCACACTACCTAGTGATCCACAAATTGTGGAGCTAGGGAGCCGACTAAGACAACACCTCATTTTGAGTGTAACTATGAAACCACGACAACCACATAAAATGTTTCCATTATGCAAGAAAGCTATAGGTGTGTGGCGAATACACCGCTTTCTGCGTCCTGTGTGAAAGCCCAAAATAGCTGGTTTCAATAAATCAAGCAGTAAACTCACCTAGCGAGGCCGGCTGTCCTCTGATCACTCCATTTTTTGTTCGCTCCTCCCATTCCAGCACTTCCTTGTATATGAGCTCTGATCAAGAATAGATTGGGATTGTGTCAGGAAAGCAGTCTTAAAGTGAAGATTTATTTACTTTTTGCAACTAATTCATGACGTCAGCTGCATTTTAAACTAATACCAAACATACAACAGAAGTACCAAAAATAAGATTTGGATTTTGGCATATCTGGTCGTACCTTGAAATATTAAATAATATAAATGACAAAAAATAACAACAAAAATACACACACCTTTCCACTCTTCCACTGAGTGTTCTCTCTCATCGAGCTGTTTATCCGTGATCGCTGGTGGCGGCTAAAACCAAGCAAATAAACGTCATTCAGACTAGAGCTGCATATGTTAACTTAATCTATTTGTGTTGGGACAGCATGAAGGAATTGTGTGGAACCCAGCATTTTTACAGTGTAAGAAAAGCATCTTTTGCATTGGTATTATTCAATTTCTGTATCTAACTATTAGTGGACTACATAGAAAACCGCCAAATCGTCTTATTCTAACTTTCTTGTATTTCTACATTCATATAGCAGAAAAATAAAATATAGCAATATCAGATTTTTCCAATATGGTGCAGGCCTAATTCAGACACATCACAATACAAAGCCAAAAAGCCATCTGTTCTCCTCTCCAAAACATCAATGATTAATCATAAGTAATAATAAAGACTCTGTCAAACACTCACCGCCTCCACTTCTGATGGGTCGTACCAAACGTTGATGTAGGGGTGCTGAAGCGCCTCGTCTACAGAGATCCGCTTGGATGCATCTATTACCAGCATTTTGGATAACAAGTCTCGTGCCTGACTCGCTGCAAAAATACAGTTGAAGAATTATTAGTCCCCCTCTATAATTTTCCCCAATTTGTGTTGGAAAGAAAGAAAAAAAAGTAAGAAAGAAAAGAAAGAAAGAAAGAAAGACAGAAAAAGAAAAGAAAGATGAAATATATAGAAAAAAAGAAATAAAGAAAGAAAAAAGGAGCAAGAAAAAGAAAGAAAAAATAATAGAAAAAAGGAAAACTAACAAAAAAGAAAGAAAGAAAAAAGAATGAAAAACAAAAAGAAAGGATAGTGAACAAAAATAAAATAAATAAAAAAGACAGAAATAAAGAAAAAAAGGAAAGAAATAAAGAAAAAAATAAAGAAAAAAGGAAAGAAAGAAAAAAATAAAACAAAGGATAATGAACAAAAAAGGAAGGAAGGAAGGAAGGAAAAAAAGAGAGAAAAAAAGAAAGAATGAATGTTAGAAAAAAGGATAACTAACAAAAAAAGAAAGAAAGAAAGAAAGAAAGAAAGAAAGAAAGAAAGATAACTAGCAAAACAGAAAGAAAGAAAAAAGAATGAAAAAATAGAAAGGATAATGAACAAAAATGGAAGAAAAAAGGAAAGAAAGAGGAAAGAAATAAAGGAAAGAAAAAGAAGGAAATAATAATAGAAAAAAGGATAACTAACTAAAAAGAAAGAAAAAAAGAAAAACAAAAAAGGAAAGAAATAAAGAAAAAAGAAAAGAGAAAGAATAATAGAAAAAAAGATAACTAACAAAAAAGGAAGAAAAAATAATACAAAGAAAGAAAGAAAGAAAGAAAGAAGACAGACAGAGGGACAAACAAAAAAAGGAAAGACAGACAGACAGGCAGACAGGCAGACAGACAGACAGACAGACAGACAGAAAGACAGACAGAAAGACAGGCAGAAAGACAGGCAGGCAGACAGGCAGACAGACACAGACAGACAGACAGAAAGACAGGCAGACATACAGGCAGACAGACAGGCAGACAGACAGAGACAGACAGACAGACAGACAGACAGAAAGACAGACAGAAAGACAGGCAGACAGACAGACAGACAGGCAGACAGACAGACAGGCAGACAGACAGACAGGCAGACAGACAGAAAGACAGGCAGACAGACAGGCAGACAGACAGGCAGACAGGCAGAAAGACAGGCAGAGAGACAGACAGACAGAAAGCCAGGCAGAAAGACAGGCAGACAGACAGGCAGACTGACAGGCAGAAAGACAGGCAGACAGACAGATAGATAGACAGATAGACAGACAGAAAGACAGGCAGATAGACAGACAGAAAGACAGGCAGACAGACAGACAGAAAGACAGGCAGACAGACAGACAGAAAGACAGGCAGACAGACAGACAGAAAGACAGGCAGACAGACAGACAGAAAGACAGGCAGACAGTCAGACAGATAGACAGACAGACAGACTGACAGGCAGACAGAAAGACAGGCAGACTGACAGACAGACAGAAAGACAGGCAGACTGACAGACAGACAGACAGAAAGACAGGCAGACTGACAGACAGACAGAAAGACAGGCAGACTGACAGGCAGAAAGACAGACAGGCAGAAAGACAGGCAGACAGACTGCTTTTCCAGAGTAATAACAGAAGAGTAAAGGCTGACCCTTGAGTTTGTTGTGGTCCGAGTCTGCGGGGAAGAGCACGTCTGGGAAGAGCTTCTCAAAGCTGTATCCCGCATACCGAGGCCGGTTCTCCACATACGTCCTCACAGACTGATTCAGCTTCATCATGAACTCCTGTGACGGCGTGCCCAGCTGCTCGATCACTTTATTCCACTGGTCAATATCTGTAGATGCACACGCTGAGGAAAACTACTGACCGACAAGCCATCTAGAGAGAGATCATGCTTCACTTTGAGCTGTAATTGTGCTTAATTATGCGGTTGATTAAGTCGACAGAGCAGAGATCAACATCCCAAATATAAAAATATGAATTATAAACTAAGTGTTCACTTTTTACACTTTGGAATAAAAGCAATTGTAGAACAGCATGCTTAAATATAATTAGGAGAGGGGAAAAAATTATTAAGTAAAGAAGGGAACAACTTGTGAAATTTGACAAAATACACATGGAAAAAAAATACAGTAATGAATATTGTGTCGTGTGTAATCATAAACGTGTCAATTTAACAATATTCAATTTAGTTAAAATAATTTCTTTGTAATTTTGTCTCCTTATAAATGAATAAATAATAAATGAATTAAAAAATAAACCAAATGACTAAATAAAATACCGACATATTAATGCATCACAACGAGAGTGTTTTTAGTGACTAGTGGCGTCTTTTTTGAATAGTTTTCTAATGGCCGCAATCATTTTGCATACTGCTTAAGGCTGATTTATACTTCTGCAGCAAGCGCACGCGTATGGTTTGGTGCAGCCTTTGCACGGTTGCACAGACTTCGCTGATGCACACCTCTCAAAAATGTTACTATACGTCGCAACGATGCATAGTGCAAGCTCTGTGATTGGTCAGCTTGGTAACAGCGATGAGTGTAGGCAGTGCTGAGTGCCTGTTGGAGCGAGTGTTTACAAGTGTCCCGTGGAGGTGCTCCAGATGAAAACTGTTGTTTTGTGTTTACTTTGTGATTAAAGTTGTTGCAAGTCCCGCCTCTGAGTGAGTTTGAGCTACTTGTACATTAAAGTAGTGTTCAGAAAAAAACTTTTAAAAAAAATTCATACTCAGAATGGAGAAAAAAAGAAAAAAATCCACACCATTAAAACAGAAATATTAATAAAAAATCATTAAAAAAAAAAAAAAAAAAAAAAAAAAAATCACAGAACAAAAAAAATAAATAAATCGTGCTCTCAAAGCAGAACATTTTCGTACTCAAAAAAGAAAAAAAATATTGCACTCATGAAATTTAGTAAAAATAATAATAATAAAAAAAATAATAATAGTTTTAAAAAACGCACTCTCAGAATGAAAAAATAATTATTTTAAAAAAATTACACAAAATGGAAAAACAAAAATGAATAAATCACGCTCTCAAAATTGAAAATTCATACTCACAGACTAGGGAAAAATAAATTTATTTATTTATTTATTTATTTATTTTATTTTATTTTTTTACACTCCAAGAATGAAACAAACAAATAAAATAAAAACTTCTCAAACATAATAATAATTTTTTTTTAAATGAATTTTGTTTTTTTTTAAATATAGTTAAAGTCAGAATTATTAGCCTCAGTTTATTTTTTTCCTAATTTCTGTTTGACAGAGAGCAGATTTCTTTAACACATTTCTAAACATAATAGTTTTAATAGTTTTAACTCATTTATAATTACTGATTTAATTTATCTTTGACATGAAAGTAAACAATATTTGACTAGATATTTTTCAAGACATTTAAAGGCTTTACTTGGTTAATTTGGTAAACTGGGCAGCTTAGGGTAATTAGGCAAGTTATTGTATAATGATGGTTTGTTCTGTAGATTACCGAGAAAAATATATAGCGTAAAGAGACTAATAATTTGACCTTAAAATTATGTTCAAAAAATTTAAAACTGCTTTTATTCTAGCCAAAATAAAACAAATAAGACTTTCTCCAGAAGGAAAAATATTAACAGACATACTGTGAAAATTTCCTTGCTCTGTTAAACATCATTTAAGAATTATTTGAAAAAGAAAAAAATTAAAAGGGGGGCTGATAATTCTGACTTCAACTGTTTATAAATAAATAAATAAATAAATATATAAATAAATAAATAAATCACACTCTCAGAACGGAAATAAATTGTACTCTCAGAAAGGAAAAATTGCATTTGGTGTGATCGGCTCCAAAGTAAAACAAGGACTTTTTTTTTTTTTTTTCATCATATTAAAAACAAAACTACCTTTGTTTCATTTGGTCTCAGGCATCAATGGCAACACATATTAAGGTAAAATAAAACAAACAAACAAACAAACAAACAGACAACACTTAAAATGGGACAGTAAAGACAACCAGGTAAGGATACGGTCTGTGCCAGGAAACAACACACTACCTCTGACCATTTCAGCCATGATGCAGCCAATAGACCAGACATCAACTGAAAAATGAAATGACAACCAAATTAAAATGCAAAATGAAACGGCATGCTAAATGCCAATAAAAGAACACACACACACACACACACACACACACACACACACATAACAAACTACAGGGTGCATTGATGTGGATGCGACAGAGGTGAAAGATGCATGCAAACATCTCAGTGAGCGTCAGAACTACGCCTCAAAAAAACAAAACCAGCACAAAATCCAAGAAAAAAAAATCTAGAGGCTGAACAAGGATACAGTCCCTCCCTGGAAAAAGGATTTTGTGCCGCACCATCTCTGCCATAATGCAGCCAACAGCCCAAATATCCACTACAGCAGAGTAGCACAGAGGAAAAAGAGAAGACATAAGCAAAGCGGAAAAAGGCCAGAGCGACTGCTTGAGCCGGTTTCTTCCTTAGCGCAGCGTTTTTGCCCTTCAAATTGATCAGTTGCGTGTTGGCACTGCAGTGAACCACTAGTAAGACTAATGCTCTTTCTGTCTCAATGCTCAGTGCTACAGGCAAACGCGTCCAGTGTGTTTGTGCATGCAGAAAACACTAAGACTAGTGCAGCTGGACAAAAAACTCCCTGAAAAGGACTCAACATTAAACAGGGTTCCCACTTTAAACCAAACATCAAATTCCCTGACTTTGCACTGACTAAAAAAAGCTGAATTCAATGACATCTAATTAATATAAGAACAGGCTGCTGTTGGGCTAATATGTTAAAATTATGTTAAAATAAGATGTTAAATATTCATAATATATGCATTACTTTTATATTATAAAAACAAATACACAAAACCCAAGAAAATACAAAAACCCATATATTATAAATGTAAAAAGTGTTATTATACATTTATAAATGTATTATATATGTATAAAACGTTATTTTATACATATATAATATATTAAATAAAAACATATTGATCAGTTGTGACCAGTTATATAATATATTAAAATAAAAACATAATATTAAAATGATTTTTAGCTTTAATAGCCACTATAAGAACAAAAATTAAATAATTTATCTCAGATTTGAGGTAATCGCTGTTTATGAGGCTGTTCCTGTTGTGTCACGTGTTTGACAGCTCTATAGTAGCTTCACAAATACTAGATTTAGCCTTTCTGTCATCTACTTTACACAGTTTTGAAGTGGTCATTTTGAAGCTTTATTATCCAAGCATGTTTGGCTTAGTGAACAAGTACAGTCTAGTGACTGCATTTGACTTGAGTGGCTGCAAGTTGATGAGCTAAAAAAGGAATAAAATGGAGCTGGAAAATAGTCAGACCATGTAAACTGGCGTGAAACAACAGAAAAAATAAAACTAACAAAAAATAAATTTTAAAAATATAATAATAAAATAATGAATGATTAAATGCAATACATAAATAAATAAATGCAATAAATGAATGAATGAATAAATAAATGCAATAAATAAATAAATGAATGAATAAATGCAATAAATAAATAAATAAATAAATAAATACGCAATCAATAAATAAATGCAATAAATAAATTTCAATAAGTAAATTAATAAAACAAAATAAATATATAAATAAAATGCAATAAACACATAAAATAATATAATAAATATGCAATAAATTAAAGCAAAATAAATAAAAATAAATAAAATAAATGCAATTAAATAAATAAAATGCAATAAATAAAAAATGCAATAAATATGTAATAACTTAATGCAAGAAATATATAAATACACAAATGCAAGAAATATATAAATAAATAAATGCAATAAATAAATAAATAAAAATAAATGCGCAAGAAATAAATGCAATAAATAAATAAATAATTTCAAAAAATAAGTAAATATAATGCATTAAAATAAATAAATAAATAAAATGCAATAAATATAAAAAATGCAACAATTAAATAATAAATTGTACATATGCAATAAATAAATAAATAGCAATAAAAAATGCAATAAATAAATAAATTAAAATAAAAAACTAAAATTTAAAGCGACAAAAAAATTACTAAAAATCTATTACTTGGACAAAAATTTGTTTAAATTCCCTGACTTACAATGTTTGAAAGTCATCAAGTTTCCATATATTCCTTGACCTGTGGGAACCCTGGTTAAAACCCTGCAGCCGTTTGGTGAGATCTGTTTTCAGTTTTCAGCTGAATGGTGTGAAGGTGCTCGTGTGCGAATCTTGACATGCTGCAAAGCAGGGGCGTCAGGTTGGCACTCACCGTTAGCTTGATAACCCATGCCCAGGATGACCTCTGGGGCCCGATAATAGCGTGTCACGACATAAGGAGTCATGAGGAGGCCGGTTGCAGCCGTTCGGGCCAGACCGAAATCCAGGATCTTCAGCGTGCAGTCCGATTTCACTACTATATTACTGGGTTTCAGATCCTAGGAAAAGATGAATAGTTCAGCAAAGGTAAGATGTAGGACTCTGAAAATATGTAGGACTCCTTTTATGTGATATGCATATATGCACTACCTGACAAAAGTCTTGTCACTTATCCAAGTTTTAGGAAAAACCAATAATAACTTGACTTCTGAACTGCATCCCAATCATCACAAAAACTGCAGAAGACCTACTGGAACCAGCATGGAGCGGAGATTCTCACAGAAATCAGTCAAGTTTGGTAAAGGAAAAATCATGGTTTGGGGTTACAGTCAATAAGCGTAATCTTAACGCGTTTGCCTTTCATAGAAGCCACTTCTGATACCAAACGATCAACTAGAAGTCAAGTTAATATTTGTTTTCCCTAAAACTTGGATAAGTGACAAGACTTTTGTCAGGTAGTGCTCTTACAACCGGAATCAACAACAAGCCTACTGTCATGGAATAGAAAGAGTGTGTTTGTACCCTGTGTATGATGCCAGCAGCGTGCAGGTGTTTAATGCCGCAGAGCATCTGATAGAGCAGGTAGGACAGCCTCTCGTGGTCCAGCTCCATCTGAATCACCTGACACAGGTTTGCATCCATCAGCTCCATCACCAGATAACTGAACACACAAGAAATGAGGCACTCACAAATAAACAAACACGAATGCACACAGGCCAAATAACTCATTCAGGGGATGCATTTTAGTTGCATGTCAAAACACATTTAATTTCTATTAAAACAAAACATTTAGACAAATAACTTACACATCCTGGAACTCTTCAAGTGTCTTCTGTGGTGTGAACACGTTTAGTAAGCCAATTATCTGCGAAATTAAAACAAACTGCATGAAAGATATGCCAAGAATTGTGTGGATCACCTGCCTGAATGCATCAATTATCATATTATTATTTTATAAATATGTTATTACAAAAATAAACCAAACACTACACATTATATAGAGCTGGAAAAAATGAAGAGGGGGAGCTATTATGCAAAAATCACTTTTATAAGGGGATTAAACACAGTTGTGTGGGAGAAGTCTATAAATATAACCAGCTTCTTAATAGTAAACATGTATTAATTCTATTGTTAATAATCAGACTTCATTTAAAATAGTGTGCAGGAACGCTTTGATTGACATTCTCCCTTTGCAAGGTTCATCAGAGGGGAGAAGCCCCGCCCACTAGTGACCATCTCTCCCTCATTAGCATTTGTTAGTTTTTTATCTGGTGGCTATGCTGACACATAGGCATTTGTAGCTCCACCCTTTTTTGAAATTAGCACAATCTCATTTGAATTTAAAGCGACAGCCACCAAAATGCCACGATTAGGATCAAAGCCTAAAAGGGGCAGATCAGAGAGCTGGAAAACATTATTTGTGGGGTATTTTGAGCTGAAACTTCACATACACACTCCAAAGACAAAAAGGGGCATACTTTTAAGCAAACATTAAAGATAAAACATTTAAATGTATAATAAGCATTAAACAAACCAAGTAAAGCAATAGTGAGCAGACTTTCAGAAACAGAAACCCTCTTCCTGACCCCAAACATTTTTTTAAACACACACACACACAGACAAGAAAAACAGACAGATCCATGTCTTACATTTTTGTGGTTGACGCATTTCATCAGGACCAGTTCTCTGTAGGCCCGTTTGGCATGAGTTTGGTTTTGAAAGGGTCGGCTGAGTTTCTTAATTGCCACATTTCGATCGAGGACGTGGTCATACGCTGAGCTAAAAAGAGGAACACAAGTCTGTCATTCAACACTCTATCTACATCTTAGATTGTGTTCATCTGTTTCTGAGCGATTGCATGCAAATGTCAACCTTTCTATGAAAAAACGTTTTACCAAAACAGTCAAAAATGTTGCTGTCAATGTTTTCAAACACATTAAACGGTGTTTACACTCACCGGCCACTTTATTAGGTACACCTGTCCAACTGCTTGTTAAAGCAAATTTCTAATCAGCCAATCATGGCAGCAGCTCAAGGCATTTAGGCATGTAGACATGGTCAAAATGACCTGCAGCAGTTCAAACCGAGCATCATAATGAGGAAGAAACATTATTTAAGTGACTTTGAATGTGGTTGTTGGTGCCAGACGGACTGAGTATTTCAGAAACTGCTGATCTACTGGAATTTTCACGCACAACCATCTCTAGGGTTTACAGAGAATGGTCCAAAAAAGAGAAAATATCCAGTGATCGGCAGATATCTTTGGGTGCAAATACCTTGATGTCAGAGGACAGAGGAGAATGGCCAGACTGGTTCCAGCTGATAGAAAGGCAACAGTAACTCAAATAAGCACTCGTTACAACAGAGCTCTGCAGAAGAGCATCTCTGAACACACAACACGTCCAACCTT